TTTTTAGTACTGGCTTAAAGTATGATAGGAAAATTTGGACTCCTAGGAATTTAACTAATAAAGAATAAACTGATAGGGTTAGAATCTCTAGCTCTCACGAACAGATCTGAACAATAGTAGAAAGAAATAAAAACGAGAAGAACGGCACACGAATTTAACGTGGTTCAGCCAGTAAATGTTACTGACCTAATCCACGGGGGCAACTAGGGTTTTCTTTCTTATTGAGGTGATGAAAAATACAGTTCAATCATTTACAAGTACAGGAGGCAGTATATACAGGCAAACAATTAGGGTAAACTTTTAATTAAACTCTGGGCCTGACTGCCACTAAAAAAAAACAGGCCCAACTAGGACTGCTGCACATTTAGCTAAGGCTAACTGCACTTCTAGCTGTTGCTCATTGCTTATTTGGCTCCCAGATCTAAATGGGCCGAAGCCTACACCCCAACAATCTCCCACTTGGAGGCTTCGAAACATGATCACCTGCACTCCACTTCACTCCTTTGTACTTCTGTAAATACTATACCTTCTCAAGCTCCACCTAGTTGCCCCTGCCTTCTCAACACTAATCTTGAAGGCCAGTTGAAGCCATGCAAAGCTTCAACTTCTCAGTTGTCACCACCTTAGTAAACATATCAGCAGGATTCTTTGTACCAAGAATCTTCTTCAGTAACAACTCTCCATCATTTATCAGCTCCCTGATAAAATGATACTTCATCTTGATATGTTTAGTTCTACTGTGAAACATCGGATTTTTTGCGAGATGAATCGCACTCTGGTTGTCACAATACAGAACACCATCTTTCTGTTCAAAGCCCAACTCCGATAGGAAGTACTTCAGCCATATAAACTCTTTGCTTGCTTCTGCAATTGCCATATATTCTGCCTCGGTGGTTGAGAGAGCAACACTACTCTGAAGCCTGGACATCCAACTAATAGCAGTTCCTCCCATTGTGAACACATAACCAGTAGTGCTCTTACCAGAATCTTGACAACCACCCAAATCTGCATCGGCGAAGCCCTCTAAGACAAGATCATTCTTGCTGAAACATAATGATGTCTTAGATGTGCCCTTCAAGTAGCGTAGTAACCACTTGACTGCATCCCAATGCTCCCTTCCCGGATTTGACATAAATCTGCTAACCACTCCCACTGCATGAGCAATGTCTGGTATTATATACATAGTAATATACTAGTACTTTATTATATACTTTATTATATGAGTATTTGGATGAAGAGGACTGACTACATGAACAAGAACAAGAACACATATCTTGTTTAGTGGTGTGAGGTAGAACTGAGTTTGCTTGAGATGATGAAGAAAACTGAAAGAACTGGCTGGTGTAGAGCAGCTTGAGTGAGAAGAGTGAGCAGACTGAAGAGCGATGGTGCCTGGCAAGGTTTTACGTTTTTACATACCATTTGCTTTTGCGAACTTGTGAGCGGTGGCGACAAACCTTGTTTGTCAGGTAGCGAAAAAGACCTAGTCTTCCTCGATCGGGACCAGTTCCTCTGTGAAGCCTATACCCTTGCGATCTCTCTGAAATATATGAGTGTCGCGTGTGTCCGTGATGAGAGTCGCGATGCTGCGATCGACTCTTCGAGTCTTCGAACGACCGGAATTTCTGTCCTGAAGATCCACGATGCCAGCCTGCATTGCTGTCATCATCGCTAGCAATTTATCACACTTCGTATTTCATTCCTCCATCATTCGGTCTGTATTTGTCAAAAATTTCTCCATGATTCAGATTCTCGATCTCCATGATAGAAATAACAGCTCTAATACCAATGATAGAAACCCCCAAGAATCCAGAACAAATTACAGAAGGAGAACAAGAAATCAAACTGAATTTTATTAGAGAAGAAGATGAATAGTACGGTAACCAAGGTCAAAGCCTCCCAAAGATAGAGATGACTAGTCTCAAATTTTCCCAGTCCCAGACCAAAGTCCCAAAAGCCTACTTTCCCCTCCCAGCCTTACTTCTATTTATAGCAGTCCCGCAACTGACTTTATTTAATATGTATTACATAATTTTAACTAATAACTACTAGTCTATATATTAGTCTAATAGGCAGGTCCCTATCACCCAGCCCCGGGCCCCTCTAATACACTGTCACAATTATTGGTTATTATTATAATATTCTTATTATTATTCTCCTTGGCCCATGATCCTAACAATGCCTCCCTGCGCTTCAGCCATGCGCTTATTCTGCGCCTGACTCAGGTACACGTGCCTCCTCTTCTCCCAAGCGCCGCAGGCCCTGCTCGCTGTGCCTAGTGCGCTTAAGCGCTGGGACGAGTGCTTTTGACTAGCTTGGGCGTTGGTGACAGATCATAAGGTGTGAAATTCATCTAAGGAAGACTTAATCTTAATTATGTGTGGGAGGAGTGGTTACAATGTAGACAAACCATTTGATGGCATTTCTTAACATTTGCAGTTCATTTCCAAATTCATTCATTGTACCCTTTCTATTTTGAACTAAAATGAGATATCACGTGTTTTTGCCCTCCTCATTTGTTTCTCACAAGGAGATGCATTATCCCGAGTTGATCGATTTGTTAAGCGAACCCTGGATTCTATTTATTCACACTGCCTCCTTTGATTAATTGTCCATCTTAATTGACGATTAGCAGTTTCAATAGTGATGAAATGAACATTTGCAATTGTGCAATGCCATAGCGCTTTATTGTGCGCCTCACCTACTTCCAGGTATATTCCGTAAAATTGCATTGCATATGGCGGACATTGTTAAAAATAAAACCTACGCAATGAGGCTTTTGCAATATGCAATTCTAAAAATTTGCCACGGCTACGCCATATGCCATTTTAAACCTTGGATGAAATCATGTGTACCATCTTTTTTTCTCTTCCATTTATGACCCCTTCATATTCTCTATTGCATTTAGCACCCACAATCTGATCATGTTTTGATGGTCGGGTTGATCAATAAGTGTCTATTATTCATTTTGTAGTTTTTTTTGTCACGTTTTTTAAAATATTATGCGCATATTCCCCATATTTATGGTATTGCATTTATTCTCGATCCTCGTTATAGACTTGCTAATTTGGAAGATTGTTTCAACTTCTATTATCTTGCGTTTTTCGGTGAATTTCTAATGTATGACGATAACCCCATAGATCCGAAAACGGAATACAACGAGGTTAGTACTTTATTTTATGCCTTATTTAATGAATTTCGTGCACAATATAGCAACGCTCCCCCTCCCCCGTCACGAACATCTTCATCTAAAGGAAAATCGATTTTTAAATCTGCATTTGGCAATCTTATGAAAAAAACTAAAACAACTCATGTCACTGAACAAAGCGCATTGAATGAGATTACTTTGTATTTAACATATGAAGTTGATTTTGAAGAAAATGATGACTTTGACGTTCTAGACTGGTGGAAGTCAAAAGAAAGAACGTTCCCGATTTTAGCACGGATGGCTAAGCAAGTACTATCAATGCCGGTTTCAACAGTTGCTGTGGAACAAGAATTTAGTTCGGCCGGCAATGTCCTAACGGCATCTAGATCGAGATTGAGCGCGGAGTCTCTTGAGACGCTTATATGCTACCACGATTGGTTGAAGGCCGCACGTAGAACTCAAGAATTGAGCATCACCCCCTCCCAAGATTTTATGGATGACTCAACAACCGATGGTGGCTCTACCTATGCCGGAGATTCCGATTGATTAGTATTTTAGAATTTATTACAAAATGTATTATATAGCACTTGTCAAATTTATTTATACTTGTACTTCATATTTCAAAATTGTAAACTTGTACTTCATATTTCAAAATTGTAAATTTGTAGTTGTAGTTCAAATTAATTTGTAAACTTGTACTTCATATTTCAAATAAATATGTGTTCACTTTTTTATATGTAGCACTTCTCAAATTAATTAATTGGTTACAATCTAATGACTTAAAATTATTTTTCTAAAATATAAAGCCGGTTTTTAAATTAAAAATACATTTAGAATATGTAATTTGTTTAAATACTTATACACCTATTTTGTAACATTTGTAAATTATAAATCAAACCACTTTTCTAAGTACAAATAGTTTTACTTTTACTTAATTCATTAAATTAATTAATTTATTTTACAATATGTGTATAACTTAAAAAAAAAAAATTAATTCAAACTTCCCAAACGGCTATATAGCCGTTGGGGCTATGGGTGGGGGGCAGGGGGTCCCGGGGGTGGTGGTGTGGGGAGTGGGGTTCAAAAACATCTATAAATACATCTATTTTCTAACATTTTTTTACATCTCTTCTCCAATTCATCTCAAACTCTTCTCCATCTTCATCTTCTCTTATTATCCTACATTCCTACTTATACATATACCATTTTAAATATGGAAAGTACATCTTCCCTTATGCAAAACAATTTTGACAAGTGGAAGGACCCGAAGACCGGTCTGTGGTGGGCAACTTGCAGGTGGTGCAAGAAAGAGTGTTGCTTGGGGGGTTCATACGGATACGGGATGCCAATAAAACATATGAAGTCTTGTGACAAAGGGAAAACAACAACCAACGGTGGCGGAAATCCCAATTGATATTCATTACAAAATGTATTTCATATTGTTGTTTTTTTCTCAATTCTCAAATGTAGTTCTTATTTCAAATAAATGCACTTGAACTTTGTTTTTAATAGCAATTTGTATAATATATAAATTATATAATTAATAAAAAAAAATATAATGGCCCGGCCCGGCCCGGCGGGTGGCCCGACCCGTGACCCGGGCGTGTGGCCCGGCCCAAACCGGAACCGGTGATTGATCGGGCCGGTCCCGGGCCTACCATTATAGGACCCGAGGCCCGACCGGGCCTTGACCCGGCCCGGGTCCAACACTAATAATCTCAAAAGTTGAAAATTAAATACAATTCAAAAAAATATGAAAATCGAAACATAATGAATGAAAGATTAAAAGGATTTGAGATGCATTATTAAAAGTTTTGAAAAGTACTCTTCTTGTTAAAAGGAATAAAAGGTGATCTGGTTCGGCCATTCCTCTACTAACTTAATACGTACTCCGTACTTGGTCAATTGCTGGGCTATTTCAGTTTTCAAACGCAGCACCAATAAAATTAAACAAAGGCATGTCTTTTATATTAAAAATACATATACTCTGTATATAATAGGAAGAAAGCTAAAATATTGGGCCCTTGAATTTTTCACTTTGTTAGGGCCCTGAGACCCATGCCTCGGTAGCCTCACAGTAGGCACGGCCTTGCTTCTCAGCTCCAGCCGAGGTACAAAGGCTGGTTCTCCCACTCGTTCCTGAGCAAATACAATCAAAATAAATAATGCAGACTTTTTTAGCAAGTTCTTAAAAAACAATTATACACACATAAAGATAAAAAAAATATACATATGTTTCATATACTTGCAGGTCGTAATCAAAAACAAAGTCATAAGCCTGGTAAATATTTAAAAATAGAAAATTAATCCAATCGGGATTCCCACCTTATGAATCCACGCGTTTCTATATAAACGTAATAGGTCACTGGCTGTATCTTGGTACGGGTGTTTTGTGGAATTTATGTTAGACTCCAGTGGCCCATTCTTTGCTTGGTTGACCCAATTGCCTGGCACAGTAGTGTAATTGTTGAATAACGACCTAAATACCTTGTCTTCCCTCCAAATCAAATTGTAAAGATGTGACATATAACAGAGTCGTGCGTCGGTATTGGGAAGAAAGAATGGGTGGTTCGCCAGCCGAATGAGCCTATTTAAAAGATGATAAGTACTCTGTTTAATTATAATTTCTCTACTTAACAAGATATAGTTAAAAGACTACCTATTTAAGATATACAGCAGCTTTTATTAGAAAACAAAATTCTTTTGGGCAATAAAGTTCAAAGTGTTCCTTTATTTATTAAAACGGGCTCAAGTTTTACATCAAAGCCTTGAAAACTTTAAGTCAGTCACAAGCCTGGAGAATAAAACTCATGCATTTTGTCATAACAAACATTACCCTAAACACACAAGAGTTATTTAATTAAGAAGGTTAAACTGAAACAGGAATCCTAACTGTTACTCTATTTATTAGGACAATGTATATCAGAAAATCGAAGGCCTACAAAAATATATGTTTTCCAGAAACGTAGAGGAATTGATTCATAGAAGTTAACGAGTTTTTGGTTATTGAGTGAATCGTAGAAGTTGTTCTGATTCAATAAATGCATCGAAAACTCTAAACCACTGTATTTCATATTAGTGGGTTCAGAGTTGAGATAAAAAAACAGTTTTGGAAGGCTAGGCTGTCTAAGAAGAAGTATGCTCAACTAATTGAGAACATTTAGATGTATTTAGAGATTAAAGAAAACAGAAACTTGAAATACTTTTACAGAGATCAAAGTAAGTGGTTCAGAAAATTTATTAACAGATTCAGAATGACGGCTTGTGGTTCAAGATGTGAATAGCTTGAATGCAACACATTATTTACCAAACTGCTCTTATAATGGATGACAATGAAAATTTTAATGAAGAACGTCTTCAAACACGCATTTGTCATTCTTCATTCTTCAAACTGGAAATTATAAAGTTCACAGTCACTCGAACAAAGTGATAACTCTATATTTTTAAATGTTAAACATCATACATCTTTATTCAAAATAAATGTTAGCTTTATATTTAACATGTTTTCTTAACTGAAAATAATAATAACTGAACTCCTTATAGGATTTTCAATTTCAGAAAAATCAATACAGGGAGCCTTATATATATTTTTTTTAAATTTAGGAGTCCATGGGAATATTAACAACCATGGGTATTCTGATTTGGTAAAAGTGAGTATAGATTCACAAAAATGAGTTTCAAAGAACCAAGAACAAAAAAAAATTGAAATACATCTTATGAAAAAAAGGCAATGGCGTTATATGAAATGGGAATTTATGCATCAGAAGAAGTAATCCAATAAATGCTTCTTGGTATTTGTAATAGAACAATGCTTCTTTGAGACTGTTTCTAAAGAAAAATAAGATTGTATTGTTTGTTTTACTTTTAATTTTTTACAGGAAACTGTTTCATATAATTAGAATGAGAGTTCTAGCTTTTCAAGGAGTTGGTTTGGAGTGTAGTGAGCAAAGCATAAAGAGTTTTGATTCAAATATACATTTATGTTGCTAGGCCTTTAAACTAAAGTAGCTGGTTAGTTGTATTTTGAACTCACACCAAACTAAGACACTTGTTGGTTGTAATTCACTAATTTGTGATTACTTATTAGTGATCAAATTTTTTAAAACTTTCTTTAAAGATCTCTAAAATCTAATTGTATTCAATCAGTAAAAACAAAGCCTAGGGGAAAGCCACTTAATATCCATTGCTCTCGTCTTCAAAATAAAATACAGAATAAACTTTTCATCCCCCCAAATTCGTGGCACATCATATGAAGGCTTATAGCTTTGTACTTGTGTATCTTATGATATATATTGTATACACATTAAAAATAGAAATTTATACCTTTTTTTATACCAGGTATTTATTTTAAAAAATCACCAACATATCCAATGAAGGTTAACACATATACTTCCAATTCTGAAGGCAGACAGTCTAATATCTTCATTCTCCGGTAACAAGTTTCTTTTAGGCAATAAAGTTCAAATTGTTCCTGTATTTATTAAAATGGTCTTAAGTTTTTCATCAAAGCCTTCAAAACTGTAAGTCAGTCACAAGCATGAAAAATAAAACTCATGCATTTTGTCAGAACCAACATTACCCTAAACACATAAGAGTTACTCCGTATTTAATTAAGAAGCTTAAATGGAAAAAGGAATCCTAACAGTTATTTAGTAGGAAAATAAAATATAACGGGACATCAAAGGCCTACAAAAAATGTGTTTTCCAGAAACGTAGAGGAATGGGTTTGCTGGAGTTTTTGGTTATTGAGTTAAATGTAGAAGTTTTTCTGATTGAATAAATGCATTGAAAACTCTAAACCACTGTATTTCATATCAGTGAGTTCAGGGTTCAGATAAAAAACAGTTTAGAAGGCTGGGCTGTCTAACAAGAGGTATGCTCAACTGATTGAGAACATTTAGATGTATTTAGAGATTAAAGAATACAGAAGCTTGAAATACTTTTACAAAGATCAAAGTAAGTGGTTCAAAAAATTATTTACAGATTCAGAATAGCGGCTCGTGGTTCAAAGTTTTGTTTGTTATCTGCCAATAATTGTAATAATGGAATGTGAATACCTTGAATGCGACACATTATTTACGATACTACTCTTATAATGGATGACAATGAAAATTTTAATGAAGAACATCTTCAAACACGCATTTGTCATTCTCCATTCTTTATAAATAACTCTATATACTTTTAAATGATAAACATCATACATCTTTATTCAAAATAAATGTTACCTTTATACGGAGTATTTAACATGCTTTCTTAACTGACAATAATAATAATAATAACTGAACTCCATATAGGATGTTCAATTTCAGAAAATCAATACAGGGACCCTTAATATATATATATATATATATATATATATATATATATATATATATATATATATATTTGAATTTAGGAGTCCACAGGATTATTAAAACGAACATATGCATTTCGGGGGGGAGGGGTATGAGTTCTTTTTGTAATCTGCTTTGAACTGAAAATATATTGTCAAAAATAGAGACGCTCTTTAATGTGGTAATTCTTATTTTTACCATTTTAGAACCTTAGACAACAACTTATTTTAAGTGGATCGCTTGTCAAAGTCTTCTTTGGATTCCCTAAGGCTAACAAAAATGAAAGAAATATAAAACATATATTTACAATGACTAATTTTAGAGTACGCTGTGATTGTTGTTTATCTTTTTTCTATTGCATTTCACTTCTTTTTACAAACTACAAGTTTTAAATAAGTAAGGAGCACTAAAAATACATCATAAATTTACTACTCACCAAGAAGACAATTGATACAATCAATGCCAAAAAACCTATATTGTGGATGTAAATATTGGTCCACTTTAAAGAAAAATGATTGTGAGTGACTGTTAATATATGTTTTAAAAATGCATTGATTTTCGTATACACTATAAATTAAAACCAAGTACCTTGATTTTAGTCTATAATTACTCATATTATTCTTTCACTGAAGTAGACAGTAGTATACAATTCAATTTCAATTCCTATGTTGCTGATCCTTATTTGTGATGGGGAAAAACAGCCACACACGGAACTAATAAAATGCGGAATTAATCTCCGTTTGGCTAAACTTTCCCCAACTTGAATGAACCTTTGAGGATGCAAACAAATAGGGTGTTCTTAATACAATTAGAACACACAATATTGCTGCCACACACCAATATAATGAGCTAAAACAGTAAGCACACACCACACAAAAACACCGGAATTTTAGCGTGGAAAACCCGTTAACTAGGGAAAAACCACGGGACCATTTTGGCCGCTTAAATCCACTATCATCATCAAAGGAGCAGTACACAATCTTCTCTAGATAATACTAGAGGCATACAACATCATCATATCCTTGGAAGTAAGAACATCAAGGTGTATGGAATCAAATAGAGCCAAGATAAGAAATATATCACCAGAAAATAGCTACTGTCCAGACCAACAAAACCCGACCTCCGGACCACAAAACCCGATCTCCACCGTCCAGAATATTGGCCCTGATGCTGTGAAGCTGCTGTCCAAAAATCACGACGATCCAACGGTTCAATCTCCGGGAAACGGAATTTTTCTGCTGCTGCTGCTGGAAAAACGGGATGAGCACACTTCAGCTCATGTTTTGTGATTGTTCTCACTTATCTGCTGCTCTCTTTCTGTCCATGAGTAATAGATAGATGGCAGACCCTGTTTTTAATATTAGCTCCCAAAATAGAAAGTCAAAGAAGACTTTTGATGGGCTCAAGAGTTGGGCTTTCCTCATGGGTCAAAAATAAAGAAAGAACCCAACAAATCTCCCCCTTTTTGACTTATGAGGAAGAGTTCGCCATACCGGCGATGGAGCAACATACCTTCAACTTTTCCCTTGCTAGAACCTTCGTCAACATATCGGCACCATTATCATTGGTATGAACTTTATCAAGTTCAAACAGTTTGTCTTCAAGTGCATCTCTAATCCAATGATACCTCACATCAATATGTTTGGTTCGTTTGTGAAACATACAATTTTTATCAAGGTGAATGGTACTTTGATTATCACAAAGAACCACATAGCGTTGTTGCATAAAGCCAATCTCTTGCATAAACCTTTTAAGCCATAATAGCTCCTTACAAGCTTCTGTTGCAGCCACATACTCAGCCTCGGTGGTGGATAAAACCACACACTTTTGCAGTCTCGATTGCCATGACACAGCTCCCCCTGCAAAAGTCATCAAATATCCAGAAGTGGATTTCATGTTGTCCTTATTTCCTGCCATATCAGAATCATTATAACCAACAAGTACTGGCTTCCCATTTCCAAATGTTATACCCAATTTGGAAGTACCACGTAGATATCTGAGAATCCACTTCACTGCTTCCCAATGCTTCTTACCTGGATTTGACAGAAAACGACTAACAACACCTACTGCATGGGCAATATCAGGCCGTGTGCACACCATAGCATACATCAAACTCCCTACAGCTGAGGCATAAGGAACTCTATCCATCTCTTCAATCTTCTTCTCAGAAGATGGGCAATCTTTATCTGTCAACCTGAAGTTGGTAGTAAGAGGTGAACTAACCTCTTTAGCTTTGTCCATGTTGAATCTGCGAAGCACCTTCTCAATGTATTGCTCCTGTGACATGTGTAGCTTCTTCAAAGCTCTATCTCGAGTGATCCGAATGCCAAGAATCTGTTTTGCTGGCCCCAAGTCTTTCATAGCAAAAGACTTGCTCAATTGCATCTTCAGCTGAGTAATTCTTTCTGCATTCTTGCCAACAATTAACATGTCATCAACATATAACAATAAAATAATGAAATCATCATCATCAAACCTCTGGAAGAAAACACAATGGTCTGAAGTAGTCTTTCGGTAATTTTGCTCCCCCATAACTGACTCAAACTTCTTGTACCACTGTCTTGGTGCTTGCTTCAACCCATAAAGACTCTTTTGAAGTCTACACACATAACCTTCTTTTCCCTTAACCTGAAACCCTTCAGGTTGCTCCATGTAGATTTCTTTATCCAAGTCACCGTGAAGGAAAGCTGTTTTGACATCCATCTGTTCAACCTCAAGATCAAGGCTGGCTGCCAAACCCAGAACAACACGAATAGATCCCATCTTCACGACCGGAGAGAAAATCTCATCAAAATCAATACCCTTTCTCTGACTGAACCCTTTGACCACCAATCTAGCCTTGTACCTAGGTTGTGAGGTGTGCTCTTCAGTCTTCACTTTGTAGACCCACTTGTTCTTCAAAGCTCTCTTGCCTTTAGGCAACTTCACCAACTCAAATGTATTATTTTCATGTAAGGAATTCATCTCATCTTGCATGGCTTCAACCCACTCCCTTTTATGCGCATCTTCCATGGCCTCTGCATAACACTCAGGCTCTCCCCCATCAGTGAGTAAGACATACTCATTAGCTGAAAAACGGGTGGAAGGATGACGATCTCTTGTAGACCGCCTAAGTGGGACAAATGGTGGCACGTCTGGTACTGGTATCTCTGAATGAAATTCTTCATCCACCTCTGGCTGTTCTGGAACATCAGTATCATGTTGTTCATCATTCTGAACATCATTATCAAGAGGTGGTTCTACATGCTGAGGAGGCACTGGATCCAAATCAGTAACATCATCATTATGTTGAGGAATTGTATCTTTCTTCTCAGCATCTTTCAAGGTTTGATCTTCCACAAACACAACATCTCGGCTTCGAATAAGTTTCTTGTGGACTGGATCATATAATCTGTAACCAAACTCATCTTGGCCATAACCCAAGAAAACACATGGTTTGGACTTCACATCAAGCTTTGATCTTTCATCTTTAGGAATGTGCACAAAAGCTTTGCATCCAAAGACCCTCAAATGACGGTAAGAAACATCTTTGCCACTCCAAACCCTGTCAGGTACATCAAAAGACAAAGGAACACAAGGAGTTAGATTAATAACATGTACCGCTGTATTCAAAGCTTCTCCCCAGAATGAATTTGGCAGCCCTGCATGTGACAACAAACATCTGACACGCTCCATCAAAGTTCTGTTCATCCGCTCTGCTAATCCGTTCAGCTGCGGTGTCTTGGGAGGACTCTTTTGATGTCGAATACCATGATCTCTACAATAAGCATCAAAGGGGCCAATGTATTCCCCTCCATTATCTGTCCGAATACACTTGAGCTTCTTTCCAGTCTGTCTCTCAACCGAGGCATGAAACTGCTTAAACACCTCAAATACTTGATCTTTAGATTTCAAGGTATAAACCCATACCTTTCTGGAGTGATCATCAATGAATGTGACAAAGTAGGAGCAACCACCAAGTGTCCTAGTCTTCATAGGACCACAAACATCAGAATGCACCAAATCAAGTATACTCTCCTTCCTGGAAGGAGGATGGCTCTTAAAGGAAACCCTGTTCTGTTTACCTGCCAAACAGTGAGAACACTTCTTTAGATGAATATCATGCACACCCGGTAACACATTTCTCTTCAACAAAAGAGACATCCCTTTTTCACTCATGTGACCAAGTCTCTTATGCCATAAATCAGTCATGTCAGTGTTCACCACAGCATTGACCCTATCCTTGAAGATCTTCGGATGTGTCATGTACAACTTTGAGCATCTTTTACCTCTAGCCACGATCAAAGAACCACGAGTGAGTTTCCATATTCCATTACCAAAGTTGTTGTTGTAACCATCATCATCAAGTAAGCCTGCGGAGATCAAATTAAGTCTCATATCTGGAACATGTTTTACATTATGTAAAACCAACTCTATCCCAGTGTCAAACTTCAAACAAATATCTCCGATGCCTGCAATCTTTGTTAGTCCATTATTACCCATCCTAACATTACCAAAGTTACCTGGAGTGTAAGATGAATAAAAATCCCTCTGTGATGTTACATGACAAGTAGCACCACTATCAACAACCCAACTGGAATCATCATGTGCAATGTTGACCATATCAAGATCAGAACAAATAAGGAACTCATCGGTAGCACTGTTAACTTCAGCATTGCCATTACCACCCTCATCTTTCTTATGGTTCTTTTGATTGTTGTAATCGCTCTTCTTCTTCTCCTTTTTCAATTGCCTGCAGAATCGTATTGTGTGCCCTTTTCTACCACAATGATAGCACTCAAAATCAGCAAACTTTCCTTTGGATTTACTTCGATGCTTCCCTTTGTTACCTGGACCTCTACTTTGACTTCTCCCCCTGCTTTCTGTAACTAAGACATCAGAATGTGAAGAGGAACCTTGTGACTTTCTTCTCATCTCTTCATTTAAAACACTGCCTTTAGCTAATTCCATGGTGATAATACCATCTGGTGCAGAGTTGGACAATGA